AAAAAACTCCTTACGGAACTCGCTGATTCACTGTACGGGACTCGCTGATTCACTGCACGGGACTCGCCGTTTCACGCGCGACTAGCTTTGGTAGCAGAAGTCTATTTATCCTTACCAAATTTGTTCTGTGGGTTGGATGTGAGACAATTGCGTTAAGGTAATAGCTCAGAAAGAAATAAGATATAATTATTGAGTGACCTCTTTATATCACTTAACATTTGATGTGGTGGTTAGAACGTTGCTTTGTGTGCTGGACGTCGATCAATTCCTGCCCAGGTGCCATCATTCACAAACAAATTAATGTTTTCCTTTTTACAAAATAATTTTTTTTTACAAAAGAAGTAAAAGTTTATTATAAATAAATATATTTTTTGTTAAACAAAAATATAAGGTTCTTGTCAAAAAAAGAAAAAGTAATACAACAAAAAAAAAATTTCTTGTCAAAAAATAAAAGCTTATTGTAAAAAAAATATAAGGTTCTTGTAAAAAAAAAAAAGGTAATACAACAAAATTTTTTTTTTCTTGCCAAAAAATAAAAATTTATTGTAAAAAAATATAAGGTTCTTGTAAAAAAAAAAAAAAAAGTTATACAACAAGTATTCCTTGTTAAAAAAAAACAAAAAAAAGGTTCTTGTTAAAAAAAAGCAAAAAATAGGTTCTTGTTAAAAAAAAACAAAAAAAAGGTTCCTGTTAAAAAAAAACAAAAAAGTAATACAATAAGCATTTCTTGTAAAAAAATAAATAAAAAGTTATTGTCATAAGAAATAAAAGGTTTTTGTCAAAAAACAAAGACCAAAGGTAATACAACAAATATTTATTGTAAAAAATAAGAAGTTGGATTTGTTATTATTTGTATAATAAAATAATTATAAAATGTAAACCAACAAGTTCAATTTCAGTATGTAATGTTCTCCACCAATTCGAGATTTTGGTGGCCATTTTTTATCGATTAAAACCATTATTTATTATAATCCATCTATGATTATATATTTCATCCATGATAATTCTATTATTTTTCTTTTGTGTGATGTAAATTTAATAATCAAAATAAGTTCATGCAGAGAAAAAACATCTCAATATTCACATATTGATGAAAAAATGAAAATTAATAATGTGGTACCCCGATTTCTTATTGGATTCCTAAAACACAACATTTATAATGAATTTTAATAATTTTTTTAGATTTTTTTAAAGCTTAATCCAACCAATTCGTTTTATTCCCGATCTAGATCGCCGATTCACCGATCCGGATGGGTTTTTGGGGTGCCCGATCCGGGCCACCGATCCGTTTTTTAAACTACTGATTCTGCCTTTCCATCGAAGGTATCGCATGAAGATCGAAACCGACGATTCATTGGTCCGCTTTTTTTTTTCTTTCTTTATTTTAAAATAAACTTATTAAATTATCTAAACGAAAAGACCAAATCTATAACCGATGGCTCATCGCGCGTGCGTGCTGGATCTTCATGCCTTCGTGTGGGATCTCCATGCGTGCGGTCTCTCTGTGCGTGCGGGCACTCGACCGGGCTCTCCGTTCATGCGGGCATGTAATGCGGGCTCTCCATCCGTACGGGCATGTGGTGTGGGCTCTCTGTGCGTGCGGGCATTCGTATGGGATGTCCGTGCGTGCTGGCACTCGTGCGTGCAACCACTCCTGCGGGCTCTCCTTTCATGCGGGCACCTCCATGCGTGTGGGCACTTGTGCGGGCACCTCTCCCTGCGTGCGGCTACTAGTATGGGCACCTCTCCCTGCGTGCGGCTACTAGTATGGGCACCTCTCCCTGCGTGCGGCTACGCGTACAGGCACCTCTCCCTGCATGCGGCTACTCGTACGAGCTATCCGTACGTGCGGCTACTTGTACGGGCTCTCCGTGCGTGCAGCTACTCGTACGGGCTTTCCGTGCGTGCAGCTACACGTATGGGCTCTCCGTGCGTGAGGGCACTCGTACGGGCTTTCCGTATGTGTGGGCACTCGTGCAGGATACTGTACGTGCGGGATCGTGCTATGGGCTCTTGTTCGTGCGGGTTCGTCGTGCGGGCTTTCAGTGAGTGCGGGTTCGTCATGCAAGCTCTCAGTGAGTGCGGGTTCATGATGCGGGCTCTCCATGCGTGAGGGCACTCGTGCGGGATCTCCGTGTGTGAGGGCACTTGTGCAGGATCTCCATGCGTGAGGGCACTCGTGCGGGATCTCCTTGCGTGAGGGCACTCGTGCGGGATCTCTGTGCGTGAGGGCATGTGATGCAGGCTCTCTATGCGTAAGGGCATGTGATGCGAGCTCTCTGTGCGTGAGGGCATGTGATGCGGGCTCTCTGTGCGTGAGGGCACTCGTGCGGGTTCTCCGTGCGTGAGGGCACTCGTGCGGGCTCTCTAAAGTGAGGGCACTCGTGCGGGCTCTCCATCCATATGTGTGGGCACTCGTGCGGAATTCTGTATGCGGGTTCATGGTGCGGGATTCTGTATGTGGGTTCATGGTGCGGGCTCTTGTTTGTGCGAGTTCGTGATGCGGGCTCTTGTTTGTGGGCTCTTTTGTGCATGAGGGCATGTGATGCGGGGTCTCCGTGCGTGAGGGCATGTGATGCGGGCTCTCCGCGCGTGATGCGGGCTTTCCGTGCGTGAGGGCACATGATGCGGGCTTTCCGTGCGTGAGGGCACATGTGCTGGCTCTCCGTGAGTGCGGGCTCTCCGTACGGACCTGCGGGCTGGGGGGTCGTGCAAAAAAGAGATTCGGCGAGAAGTCCCGTCTGCCTTGCAGAATATCTAAACCTATAGAGAGAAAGAGGGGGAGTTGCAGGTGAGGCAAATGAAGAGAGAAAGAGAAATGATCGCTGAAAGGAATCTAGAGAGATATGAGAGAGAAGAAAGAAAAACAGAAAAGGAAGGATTCACCTTGGAACGGCATTTTGGTGGAGGCTGCCAACTCTGTGGCATCGGAGAAGAGAGAGAAGAAGTTGCATCCCCTGCAGCAATACTCTTTTTTTTTCTTCTTCACCGACACCACCACATTCCATTAAACCCAACCAAATTACCCCCAAACCCTAACAATCAATCAGCCTTTATTTTAAATCAATTCAGAAGAATTACAGAACCAGAGTTACAGGCAATCCCTAGAATTGAAAACGGTGAATGCATAATCCGCATATTTGGGCATCCACATTTTCTGTAGGAATGGGTAAAAGCCCTTAGAGAGAGAGAGGGGGGCGTTACACAGAGAAAAGGGGCAGATGAGATCGAGGTTCAGACCTTTTTCGCTGCATCTCCTGAAATAAAGGAGATGAGCAAACCCTAGGGAGCATTGAGGGGTCTGGCTGAGCGGCATGGTGCAAAGAGGGGTGGCTCAGCGGCAGAAGAAGAAGAGTACTATGTGCATCAGTCGAAGAGTACTATCGAGTTCCTATATACAATAGAGTGGAAGAAGTTTGTGCGTGTTAATTAGGAAAATAATAGAGGTTTATATAACGTAACAATCTTATTTGTAGAAATAAAGTTGTGATGTTTTAGGCCATCTATTTTAATTGCGACAAGTTTATATAGAGCCGAGTCTCTAAACAATCAAATCAGAGCTTACCTCAAAAATTTCACTAGAAGATGTTGCTTTGATACCGAAATATCATCAAATTGATCATCTCGACATCAAGATGTACGGACATGAGAACAAAATGGATTTCAAGTTTTGGAAATAGTGTATTATGTATCGTTTTTTTGGACAGTCAATTTTCAAGTTTTCATAGATCCGCCGATCTACAATATTTTTGAAGCTTTAAACTTTATAACTAAAGATGAAAATATATTTTAAAACTATCACATTTTCAATATTGAAACCACATTTCTCGACACTATTTGAAGGTAGGCTGTAATTTGATTGTTTAGAACCTAGGCTCCATGCAAACCGCACTCTAATATTTTAATTTGATGTTCTATATGATTTATTTTAATTGAAAAATGTAGATCCAATATGAATTTTAAAACAACTTCAAAAAGTGGTGCTTCTTTCAAAACAATATCAAATCTACATCGTTTAAATAAAACAGATGATGTAAATTAACAACTTTACTTTTACAAGTAGAGTTGTAACCTTAGATAATTTTTTTTCAAATGATAAGAATTGTAGTGATCATGGTGGATGCCATAAAGATGTGAACGTTATTATATAAATATATTTATAATCAAGCGCAACATTAGGTTAAAAAAGAAAAATATAAGATAATAAAGAGGACGTGACATAAATATCATTTTAAAAAGGGAGAAAGATACATACAGCATCTTTAAATTTTTAATCTTGTATGCATCCTCGGGTCCACAAGAATCCCATGAATTCCCCTAATATATATAAAAAAGCCAAATACCCTCTGTTACTTTTTTTTCCCTTTTTTTTTTTTTTGGGCCTAAATTGACTATTTTGTTTTATTTATTTTCACTAGTCCAAGATCATAAAATAAACACCCCCTCTCTTCCCTTTCATATGATCCTTTGAATAGAGCTGGCAACGGGCCCCTGATCCAAGCCTAGCCTTGTCCCTGTTTAGGGTCAGACCTAATAGACCTAAAGATAAAAGAAAAGGGAGGGCTGCAACTCTATCAAAATAAGTAAAGCCTCGCCTCATAACTCATTGACTGCAGCCTTATCAAAATAAGTAAAGCCTCGCCTCATAACTCATTAAAAATTACAATTTCAACATTGGAAAACCTTTATATTAGTCATTTTGGCTTGAACATTATAGCTGTGAAAAAAATTAGGATTTCAAGCTCTAAAAATAGTATACATAGCAATAAATTATTTAAATTGTCCATTTCTCCCTAAAAATAGATTTTCAAAGATTTGTAAGACTTATACCATGTTTTGAGTTTCAAATTTTATTTTCAGTATTATTAATTGGTTTTATAATCATTATAGAGATTTCCATTGCCGAAAGTGTTTTCGGGACAAGGATTTGAGTTGAGGCTTTATTTTGTTTTCATAAAGCCTAGGGCTTGTAGAAACTTCATCTTTTACCGTTTGGATGAAAACTTAAGTGAAATACCATGTTTTGAGTTTCAAATTTAATTTTCAGTATTAGAAATTGGTTTTATAATCATTATAGAAATTTCCATTGAAGAAAGTGCTTTCCAGACAAGGATTTGAGGTGAGGCTTTATTTTGTTTTCATAGAGCCTAAGCCTTGTCGAAACTTCATCCTTCATATTTTCGATGAAAACTCAAGTGAATGAAAACTAAGTTGGCCTTTACCTTATAACTGTGAGCATTTTTTCAGTTCTATAGTGCGTTAATTTGATACACTCACTTTCTTTTTTAAACTTCTCCCTTGTTTTTTGGATAATGGTATGGATGTAGACTTATGTTTCCGGGGCATGTTTTTTAATATATAGCTGTGGAATTCATTAAATAGAAAAATTGAAAACTATAGTACTCGTTTGTTTGGTTTTATGTAAAAAAAAAATTAGCACTCTTTTGTGTTTTGGATAATGATGAAAAACTGAAAATACAAACCGCTCCAGATGGACTTCCCTCCGTAAAGGTGGTGATGTTTGTTTTGGGGACAGTTTTGAAAACCGCCACACGAGGAATGAATGAGTCGAGTTAGGAGTAGCCCGAGTCATGTGTGTGAGAATGGGGTGGTTACTGTTTAATTCCACCCCAAAAGGTGTATAAAAGGGTCCTTTATGCGCCCTCTTCATATCACCTATCACATCTTTTCTCTCTTTTCATTCTTTTCTTTTGGGTCGAAAAATCTTTCCCTAAAAGGTTTGGATTACAAAGGGTTTGATGTTTTCATGCTTTCCACAGGCTTTCTTGAACATAGTAACTCAGACGGGCCTTCTCCGAATGTATCGAAGAAGCAATTTTGAGTGACATGTTCAAAAAATCTGTGGAGAAACATGGAAACAATCATAAAGCCACATTGCATGTTTAAAAGTGAAGGCAATTTTATCAGAATATCGGCCATAGACAGTTGTTAACTACATGAATTGAAGGTATTTATCTATGCGGCCTGTTGGCGATTCAAAGGTATTATGATCGCCGGATTGGTTGCACGGTAATGTGTGGTGTGTGTCTGTGCGCATTTGTCGTCTGTTACCATCAAAATCAAAAGAAAGGGAGGGCAGGGTGGTACATAACATGCAACAGTGGCTCTGGTATTTTATGGATACATGCGTGAGTTCTTCAAAAATTAGGGATTGATTCATAATTCATGCATGGGTGCTTTTGTTGGTTGGCGCTTTTCTTTATATAAAAAAAAACCATATATCGAGATTTAATTTCAAGAATATGTGAAAAGAGTAAATTTTGATGAACATGGTGATTCCAGGAGTCACATAAAGTTACAAGGCATTCTTGTAGAATTATTTATTTTCACTTAAGTTTTTATTTTGTAATCTCAATATTGGATTTGTTATAAATATGGTTGGGGTTAAAATTTATATGTAGCACCTACCATCTTTATTTCGAAAAAAAATAACATATGTATTTAATTGGGAAATTTACTTAATTGGCATGGGTTTCATTTTTCTTGTAAGATAATTATACTTAGGGCCAGTTTTCATGGACTAATTACTTATTAAACATTGGTCCGTTTTGCCCTTTTTCAATAGATGGCATAGTTGTGGCTTTTAGTGATAGGCTTGGACTTTTGCTTCTTTTGGTAAGCAATAAAAGTAGTTTGGATGGCTTAGGTGGTTGTTCTATTTTGTTCAGTAACGAGGAAGAAAGAGCTTTTTTTTTTATTTTAATTTATTTTTTATTTTTTATTTTTTTATTTATTTTTGTGTGTATCTTTTTTACATTAGATGAAACAGCTGTGGTTTTCTACGATAAAGTTAAAATGTTTACTTGTTTTGGTAACTAAGAGAAACTATGGTTGCTGAATTTCGATCGATTAATTTGAGTTGAAAATAGGAAGAAGTTTACTGTAATCTCAGAACCTCCATGGCCATGTGGGACGTCATAGACGAACCCAGAAGACCCAAAGCGTATCGTCATAACAAAAGGCAAATTGTAAAGAAGCCCCTGAAGACAGCTTTGGGGACCCTCATAGACGAACCCAGAAGACCCAAAAACAACTTCACTCCAGAGTGTCGTGTTGTTTCGATATAGTTTGCTTTGAGCTATTTTGGCCCCTTTGTCTGGTTAAAGATCGAAAAAGACTAGCATTTTACAAATTTTGGATGAAAATTGACGGAGTTTTGATGATTTAACCCTGGAATGCACAATTTTGAGTTCTAACCACAAATGCATAAACCCAATTATTATGTCTTGGCATCTTTTATCATTAAGATGAGAGATTCTCTACAAAGAGATCATATATCTTTTGTATATGAAGATCACATTATCTCCATTCATTAGATCTCAAATTTGACGGATTTGGGTGAGTCACAAAATCAAAGAATGCACATCCATGCATGGGACAAGCCATAGATGCCATTAAAGGCATACTATATGTCATCTTTTTCTACAAAGGGGCAATTTGGAAATTTTGCACTCTACACACTATCCAGGTCATAACTTTCTACAAGAGGGTCCAATTGAAATGATTTTTTATCCATTTGAAACATCTTAGAGTGCTATTCAATTCGATATCCAATTTATCGTACTTGGAATTTGAATCTAAAAACGCTGCAAATTTTCAAGCATAAGAGTGTCAATCCGGAGTCTAAACTAGTGTTTTTTTTTTTTATGGAGAAGCTTTCTATACTTTCCTTACTATATAAAAGTTATATTCTTTTCCTTATCCAGCAGTCTGATCTGAATAGACCGTTGAGTTGGACCCAATCATAATATTACACTTCTCCAGTATTTTCTTTTTAATTTTTTCTAGAAAACATTTTGACACCAAAATTTAGGTGTCTACTCCTCTCTTAAACTCACATACCATAAAATAAAATAACCAAAATGCCCTTAAAAATTTGAGAAGTATTTTGGTCATTTTACTTTATCGAAAATATTTTTTTAAGGTGTGCCCCATTGAGATGATGATACATACCAAATTTCATATTTATATGATTTGTAGAAAAATAATTAAGACTAAATACTCGAAGGTATCAGATCTAGATCAAATGATCAGGCTGGATTGGGAGAGTAGTATATAACTTCTATACAGTAACAGAAGAATAGACTTTTCTTATTATATAAAGGGCATTTTGGTTTAAATAAGATAAATAGGGTTTTCTTTATTTTAGGGCCAAAATTGGCACTAGAACATTAAAATTGAAATGGGGATGGATGAAATTATATTTTGGATCTCATTCTTTGTGGCACAAAAGTTTTTCTGCCCTAAACCTAGGTTCTAAGGATACTAGTGGATCTACAAGCGTTGCACCAAGAAACATAAGACTATTAAATTTTTTGAAATTTGGCTGTA